TTTATCGACTTTTTATAAGTCTGGGCTGGGATGGCCTTCAGTGCCTTTAACAAATTTTGGTTTTTTCGGTGATTTTTGGATAATTTGTGCAGCGCGATTCCCTAGATTGTTGAACAGTGGTAAGATCCTCATCTATATTGACAAGCATTTCATACGAGTTTAGCATTGAAAAACTTCATACCCAAAACATTTACCAAAATCATCGACTAAATGATCTTGTTGAGATCCTCTGCTATCTCTATGATGCGAACATGTCGATTTTAAATCATTGTTTCTTTAACTAATCATTGCTTTTTTTACCGTTTCTCGCATGAGGCAAGTTTTCGATGACTTCATGACCTTTACTGAATACTTTGTGCCACTAATTGACATATGGAATTTAGAAAAAAAAAATGTTTGCAATTCGATTCGCGCACGCAGTTTAATGGTACGAGTAAAATTTGATCAAATGTATAACGAGTATTTATCCCTTTTTTGTATTATTCCTCTAAGCAGTGAGTGATTAAAGTAAATTGAAATTTCTCTGAAAGATCTGCTTTATCCAAGTATATCTTTTCCCAAAACAGATAGCCTACTCGCCACTAATCTGATGTCATGAAAGGGTAAACTATATAAGTATATTCATCAACTTAAATGAAGTTTAGTATATATATTTCATTCTTAAAGACATAACATTCTAAACAAATTAGTAAGAGCATCTCAAAGTCTCATTTCTTAAATGCTTATAAATTTTAAAGCAGTATGTCTTCGAAAAACAAATCACTTAGGCAATAAACAAATAACAAATACCGCTGTAGATTATCTCACAATGCCGGGTAAACTTCTCACATTCGAGAGATAAACCAGCACACATACTTCACACATTAGTATATCAAGAGTTTAGCGCACAAAATACACAGGCTACGAACCGATAACCTTTGAGCTGTTTCAAAGATATCGCAGACGCCTCGCCGCTTCGAAAGAATAATCTCACAGCAACGCTATCACCCAACCTATGCATATATGTGTGTGCTTGTGTGAGCTTAAGCGTTGATAAGTTCAGCTCAATGCTGATGATGTATGGAACACAAGCCATTCAATGAGATCTTGCAGTTTGAGATTAGCACAAACACACCCATCAAATATTCTCGAGATAGTGTATTTAAACGCCTTGTAAATTAACTGCCTAAACCTCTCACTTACTTCTGTGCTTGTGTTTGTGTGAGGAGCGCATTGATGCAATCGCCGTTAATTATTTTTTTAGTGCTGTTTGGAAAGGAGAAAAAATGAAAAATTGAAAATTAGAATTCTTTATGCCTCTTATACAAACATATATACAAAACCAACTGCCTCTAAAGCAAATTGCTTTAAATTCGCGATTTATTGCAGTTTTATGAGCTACGCCATATTTTGTGTTAATGCCTCGTTTGAGAGCAGCTCCAACATTGATTTTACACTCTAGTTATTTATTTTTTTTACACCCCACATGGCATTTGATTCACACTCTCATATATAGTTTTGATGGGAAAACTTACGATTTGGCACGGTAAGGCCACTTTGTGGGCATTTGTGTGACCTTCGTTCTTCTTTTGCTGCCACAGCTTCCTATTGAGCTGTCAGCTATACCGTTATAGTGTTGAAATCAATTTCGAAATAATGATTTACGAGTGTTCAAATTGAACCTTGTTTGTAAATGAAATTGGTGATTGAAGTATGTGCTACTGATGAAAGTGAGGTTAGAGGATCTTTTCTTCAATTGAGCGAAGTATGCATGGTTGCCAAGCACAAATGATCTGGTTAAATGGTTGATGGTGTTTAAAAAAATAGTGAGAGGTTAAATTGCCAACGAAAAACTGCTGTTTTCAATATATATTGTTAATTTATGTAATGTTAAAGCTTGCTTAGTCGACACTTTAAGTTGTCTCCAATAAAGAGGACTTAATGTTTTTATAAAACAACACGGATTAGCTCAATTGGATTAAAGTTTATAATGTTTAATCATTCTCCAAGTCCAAGCAATCTTCAAAGAAATTGTTCAGATCGAGTCGCTAAAATATATAGCTGTCTTACAAGTTGACAGATTAAAGTTCTTATAAGGAATCTTTGGTATTTTCGAAGGGTATATAGCTTCAGTGCAACCGAACTTAACGTTCTGATTTGTTTTATTTTTTTTGATATTTATTTTATGTACCCTTGTAATATGAGTAATCAAATTATAAAAAAATGTATAGTCAAAATATCAATTGGTAAAAAATGCTCGAAACTCGGGCGTCTAGTCTAGAATATTTCCTTAATCTGTTTAAGCTCTTTCCTGGCGTTTTAAATGAAAATTAAATTAGTGTAAAAAGTTTTTTAACTAAAAATATATTTTGTATGATCATAAAAGCAAAAATATTTTTAATTATTTATTAGAATAATAATTTTTAATATTTTTAAACTAAAAAACTAATTTTTATTTTTTATGTATAATTTCCAAATCTTGAAATATTTGGAATAATTGATAGGAAATGAAGTTCGCACGAATTGCTAATATTCAAAGAAAACTGTTCTTTTCGTAGGAGCTTAATTCATTTTTATTTCAAAGACATACATACAAGTATATGTACATATGTAAGTATATAATTGTATATATGCATGTAATTCCCGAAAAATTATGCACCAAATTTTTGTTATAAAAATATTTTTGTTTATAATTCTTGGTAAGTAGGTAAATTACATATCTTTCCATCAGCACTCTACACACGCACATTTGTACATATTTAAGCAGAAATTACCCAAAAACTGAAGTAACACCAGCACTGATAAATTAACATGAACTAAAAGCTTTTAACTGCATATTTTCCCTTTGAGAAAAGTAAATAAATGCCCTCCAATTCTGCCCTGCACCGAGCGCGTGGAGTGCATTTTACCAACTAAATAAAAACAATTTGCAGTCGGCTCGTAAGAACAACAACAACAACGGCATGCAAAGTAAACACAATGTGAAAACAAAGGCTGAGTGAAAAACACATTTTCTTATTACCACATTTGGGCAAAACAGTACACAACTAATTTGTTTATATTAGCGCTGGGAAGCTGCAAGTTTATAAATATGTATATATATGTGTGTGTGTGCGCCATTAGGGTAATTTAGTTGAAAATAGCAGCAACTATATACAAGAAATGAGGTGTTGCTTGTAGTGCGGGGAGGGAAAAAGCTGCCGCTGGTAAAAGTTTAAAAGCGAAGGAATTTCTTATAGAAATGTGCATGTGTGCATGTGTGCACGTGCGTGTGTGAATATGAATCACATGATTGTTTAACTGATTACACAGTGCGGAAATATTCACACATTCCGAATCTGGCAATTTCAGCGCAGCGAAATTTATCAGCTGCTGAGCAGTAAATACCTAAATTATCTGAGTACAATAAAAACAACAAAAGTAATAATGAAGAGGAGGAAAATTAGAATAGCTAAACTGATATATTTGTGCTCGTGTAGTCTTCGGAGCATAGTCTCTTAGGTTTTGTGTGCCTTTAAGCGTGTACTCAACTCTCTAAAGTGATTTTAATTGTTTTGCTGAAGTGCTATCTTTTTGTGCGGCAATCAGCGTTTGACGCATTCTAATTTCATTTCGTTGACAACAAATGACAATGAACATGCGCGTAAATGGCCGCACACAAATAATTGCCCCTCCGAGGAGCGCCTGTGAAGGCAGGAGTAGGCAGACGGCCATTAGGGTGTTCACGTTTTTTTGGGAAAACAAAATACAGATAGATATGTAGCTTATACTGGACTGATACAAGGAACTTTCGAAGAAAGGGTAAGAAAAAATTGAAAAGAGCTTCACGGGAACTTTTTACTTTATTCTAGAATATTTAAACATATTTTGATTTGTATACCGTACCACAGATCGTTTTCAACAAACGGAATTAAATAAAAAGGTTCTAAATAAAATTTATATTTTATATGCAATTATTTAAAATTAACTAAATAAAATCAATCGATAGAATAACTCATAAAAAATCTCCCTGGAGATGTTTTGGAGATTTTGGTAAATAATATAGACATTTTGTTATATGGGGGCTTGGTGTAGTATTGATACGATTTTATCCATTTAGGCACAAGGATACACCGGTATATACAAGTACATACGTTATAAAGTCAACTGGTGGTTCGCATATTTTTATAACTTTAAGAGATAAATGGGGCTAAAAGAAGCTGAAACATATATATTGACCCGATTAACAAATTTTTGACACAAAGGTACAATATTATCTGGAAAAGATTTACTCTGAATTTTAATAATAAAACTCAGACACCGATGTTTATGGTAAAAATGAGCTACAGGCACCGAAGCGCCGGTCCGGTTCCGACTATTTTAAGTCGTCATCGCTATTAAAATAACTTCATTGTTGAAAATAATCATAGCGAGTTGAAAATTCTGATATATGGGAAGTCGGTGTGGTTGTAGTCGAAATAACGTTATGCACCAAATTTAGTTCAAATGGGTCGAATGGTTTCACAGATATAGGATTTAACCTAAAGGTTGTCGATGCCACGTTCATTGTGCAAGTTTTACATCGATTCTTAACCTTCATCTCGGTTGTGAAATTTAATGTTCTAACGTATTTAGTTAGACAGGGGTCCTCCATTTAGTGGTTTTCAACATAACCGTTATAGGGGCAATAGGCGTGGTTATTACACGATTTCATCCATTTTCTCAGTGTCTATGGATGTACCGAAAAGATTCGTCTTCAGTTCAATTTGATACAAAAAAATACCGATACTATCTCAATGAACATTTTAGCCAAACTATTGAACGACCTACCCTAATGCACAATGTAATAATAGTAATTGTGTGACATTACGAAGTGTCGCTCTTATCACAAGTTGAATGTACGGAATGCCACAATGATGGAATCTCAAAATTTCGTAAACAATCGTTAAGGAGGATGATTAGCGGCAATGAGCCGATGTGTTGTTACTCAATTAAAAGTAAAACAAGAGGAAAATGGAATGGAATAATGGAATTTCGCTTACCTTGCCAATTGTAGTTGCAAACATGTGCTCAGCAAAATACAAGCAACGGCAAATTTATGGCACATAACACAAATGCAACACACAAAACTGAAAATAGATAACAAGAATAAATAAAATTAAATAAGATCAGTAAAATAGAGAAATAAAGAATAGCAGCAGCTACTTTTAAGGTTAAACAGTTCAGCGCAAAGCGGTGAAGTTTAAGTTGAGTTCGGTGTAAGGCAGCGACGATTCCAGCGAATTTGGGACATACACGCTGCCGGAGTGTTGGTCAAGAGCACAAAAGTAACTCACCCAATTCGCAGTTGTTTGTGACCATAAAAATGCGCATGTAATGCCCGCTTGTGGGGCCGCGAACAAGCGACTCTAAGCCTTATGGTGGCACTCTATAATTCTTATTTTCGGCTTTCACAACCAGTCAACGGTTATTAAGCCATATCTACACATGAACACAAACGAACACACAGTTGTATGGAAGCGCGCCACTTGTTGCTCCTTTAAATTTATTGGCATTTGGTGTCGTCGCCGTCTGGTAGCTGCCTTTTGCGGGCGTTTTGCGGCCATTTGACATTCTCTGCGGCACTCTGAAATCCGCATTGTTGCCCATTCTGGCCTCGCGTGCCCAAGTTTCCTTAAGCAGTCATGCATGCAAGCAGCCAGAGCGCAAGTTGTTCGCAAACACACACACAGTTATGGCGCTGGCAGCAAAAGCGATCCTCCAAGCAGCAGCAGCAACAGCTGCTCCGTCATACGCCTGTGTTATGAGTGGAATAGCTGCTATATTATTGCTTAGCTTGTAGTTGACACCATTCAAGCCCTGTTTTTTTTTTGCCTGTCCGTCTCTTCTTTGACAAATCTTTCGATCGATCTGCGATCGGTAATCGTTGCTTTCGTGGCTTTGTTTGCAAATATTGGAAGAATCAATAAATACATTCAATTGCAGTGTGTTGTGTAATGCCAGAATGCCTAAACCACTAGTTGACTGGTTGTCTATGTTGCTGTTGTTACCGGCTTTTGTCTTGCTGCGCGCAACAATGAAGCGCCACCGTGAACTCAATAACAAAAACCTCGCTAATTTTCAGCTAAACCACAAAACTTGATTTTCGAATTAAAAACTAATAAGCCTTAGTAGTTTATCGTCAAATAAAGAACATTTTAGTTTAAAAGTAATATTGAGGCATGAGTTTGGTATGAAATTTGCCAACAAAGTCAAATACGTTTTTTAACTCTTGTAGGAAACATGAATATGTATTTATTTTCAGACTATGGAGTGATAACTATGAAGTTTGTATAGCAAAAAATTAAATGATAAAATGTCTCTACATTTAGACGCGCAATAAAAGGTATCGGTGAATTAAGCGGAAGGATTGTACCAATTTTAATAAATAAAATTTTAACACATTAAATACTTTTTTCACCCCAATCTTTCAAACCGTCGCGAAACATCATATTTTGGAAATTGGACTTTACAAGATTTCTGAACAGATGGCTTAAGTATGTACCTAATGATTGACATCTTAAGAGCTGAATCCATTTCGGGAACAGGAACACAAGAAGCCAATAAAGAAGTAAATTGTTAGATATATTAGATGGATGGGAAAACATCTAGCTTGATGCTTGATGAATTTACATATATTTGAAAGTATTCTCTAAAAATTTGAGTTAATCCGACAATTAGTTTCGGAGACATGAGCGTATTTGTATGAACTCTTTAACTTAGGGTATTTGGCTTCCAAAGCTTTAAACGCGTTTTTCTCGAAACATTGTTTTCAGAGTCGGTGAGGAAATTTTTCCGGACGGCTGTACCGATCGACTTGAAATTTTTGCACAACCTTCTTAGATATATTTACTATATAATAATCGAAGTAATAAAAATTTTGATAATTATTTTGATATTTTAAGCCAGAATTATTAAATAAATTAAGAATTGTAAATTTTTCACGAAAAACCAATTTTTTTGGAAGCCGCCATATTTTGACTAGTCCTTCGATCATTACCTGTACTAATCTATTGAAATAATACTTTTTTTTTTGGTTTTTGGGTTTGAGAAAAGTTTAAGCAGAAACATCTTTCTCACTGCCAGACATTTTTGTGGAAGTTCTCCTGGATATCTGCTACGGGATCAGAGAATCAAAAATTTTTCAAAATTAATCACCGATTATTATTTTACATTAAACTTTATAAATTAAACTCTAAAAAGAATACTATATTCAACTTAAATTGTAATAACATCACACAGAAGTTGCAGACTTCCTTGTTGCTTTCACGTTTGAATTTTTTGGCAAATGAACAGAGCTCAAGAATAACGAGTAGAGAAGTTGGCGAATTGAAGATGGTTAATGATATTTTTAATGACGCATATTACAAAAAGAGATATAGAAATATATGTAGATAATAATACATTCAAAGTATACCATAAATGTCAATCGGTCCTTCTTTCTGTCTAACTAACTAAAGTAAGGACTTACTTGTAGACGAATATTTTTTTCAATATACAACTTTCTCCAGAGGCAAAATATTTATACAAAATTTGTTGATCTTTTTAAACCGCTCAGCTCCACTGTTGCTTTCATTCGCTTGCAATATGTTGCTGTTGGCTGTTGCTGCTGCTAATCGCATTGTTGGCGGCATTAATATTGTATGAGCTTGTTGCAAACACACAACAACTGACACTTTCCTGACTTGATGCGCTGGCGATAATGTTTCTGTTTGCCGATGATGTGTTTGCCTTTTTTGTCAGCGACTAGCAAATTATCGCCGACAGACTTGTTGACTACGCGCTGCACACCAAAAGGTGGTTGGCGATTGCAAACACACACATACACATATATGTTGTATGTAATGTGGGGTTTGAGGCAGTTTTGCCATTTAACATTTCTGTGTCAGTTACAAACAAACAAATATGAGGTCTGCGCTCAAGACAACCAGCGGCAGTGACAAAAACAACAGCAGCACTGATGGCAACAACAGTAGATGTAACGGATGCGAACCATTTGTGGCGAGGCAATTGTTGAAGTTGCAGCGAGTAATAAATGCACAAAAACCATATATATGGTTTGGTGTGTGTTTGTGCGTGTATTTATGTAAATGCGCTGGTGGAAACAATAAAATGCATTTGTACATAAATTTGTACAACTAAATCCACTATTTCGATTATCTACGGTTACTCTGCTGAATTGTCAATGAGCCTAACTTTAATGTGCCATAAATATATTTGTTGTTGTTTTTGTATTTTATACCCTGAACAGGGTATATTCTGTTTGCTACGTAGCTTGTAGCACCTAGAAGAAAACGTCGGTGACCCTACAAGTATAAAAATATATATAAATGATCAGTGTGACGAGCAGTGTTGATTTAGTCCATATCGGACCACTATAGCATGTAGCTGCCATGCAAACACATTGATCAAAATCATATCCTTGTATGGAAAAGTCTTTAGTTGATAAGATATCTTCCCGAAATTCGTTGACTAGTTACTAATAGTTGAGATTAGACCACTATAGCATATAGCAGTATTACAAACTGATGATTCAAATCATGTCCTTGTGTGTAAAACTTTTTTATTTGACGAGATATCTTCACGAAATTCGGCATGGATAAGTGCCAAGACAACGGTACAATATCCGTACTAATTGTTCAGATCGGGCCACTATAGCATATAGCTGTCATACAAACTGACTGAAACATTTTTGTGAAGGGTTTTATAGCTTCGGTGCAACCGAATTTAACTTTTTTTGTTGTTTTTGTTCTCATATTTTTGTACGAGCCATACGAAGGTAAGCACAATAACCGCAAGCGGATAAGAGCTACGTTTGATCTTTATCGACAATTACCGAAATTCAGATGTTCTCTATGTACATATATGTATATACTGTTATGAGTACATGCCAGTGTGTGTAAAATTAGAAAACACCTCGCTTCACCGCAACCGCAACACAATCAAATATTAATTTTGTATACCGATAGATGCTATCAGCTTGAAAGGCGATAGACAAAGTCAATGGGACGTGCCTGTCATTAAAAGATACCTTTGAGCGACACATACGGACATACAAAAACTATGCGCATGCGCGTACTGAAACCGTATTTAGGGGCGCACTCACGCATGGCGCTGACCAGAGCCACTACAGAGCGCCATGAGGCACCAATGTCAACACGCACACAACAGTCAGCACGTCACATTATACTCGCTATAATATCAAAATACCAATTTAGTGGACGCAGTTATAGCATTTTTATTCTTTTCTGGAATAATTCGTTGCCATTATTGTGTTACAGGCGCATGCGGAAGTGACTAAGTGACGAGAAAGAAAAATGGGTAGAAGTTGAAAAGGTGTTAGAGGGGAAATGCAAAGCTGGAAAAGGCAGCGCCGCAATCGACAGCGCGGCAGATAGACAGTCAGTCGGCGTAACCGAGCCGAGAGTCGAAAACCGAGAGCTATGAAAAGCCGCTGTCAGTGAGGCAAGTCAAGGGTCTGCTGTTGTTGGTGTCGTTGTTGTAGAAAGTGACATTGAATGTCAAGGAAATGCATAAATATATATACTTACATACATACAAACATAAGCCAGTATATACAAATATATATGTGAATACGTACAACATGTGAAGTGCAAGTAATGTTTTAGGCTTCCAGTCAGAAACACCCGCAGCCTAAGTCAGCGTATCCAGTGGCACCTTTTAGCACACTCACGCCAATGAATGCCCACATATGCACGTTACATACATACTTCAGAGTTAATGTGCGTCTGTGTGTGTGTGACACGCTTTGGGAAATTGTTGCGCGTCGTTTAAAACGCCTGTCAAACATATGGGCGTGAGTTGTGAATGAATGCACCGAATGCGCATGAATATGTAAATGCGACTCCTTAGGTGCCTTTAGCGCATGCGCGGCGCACACATGAGCCCTAGCTGATCGTGCTCTCGAACAAGTCGTAAAATTTAATTATGTTTCACTTTTCGGCGCTTGTAGGCGCACACATGTGCGCCTTACTTTCTTAGTGGTTTATTTTCAAACATTTGGCAGGCTGTTCGATTCTAGAGGGAGACGCACGTGGTGTGCATGGTTAAATGCAATTGTATGCTTAAA